TCCATGTTCTTCCAGCTTCTCATATCAGTTACAATGACGGTCAAGCTGTTTCCTCGTACATCAATTCTAGGAAGTAAACAAATTACAATTAATTTACTTCTCTATGAATCTTTGTCGGAATGTTTCTCTGATTGTTGTTGTTTTTGACAGAAATCCAATGGGATATTTGATCCCACCGTCGTCCAAAGTTAATACCAAACCTTCTCCGATCATGGCGGCTTTCTCATCCAGAGGACCCAACATGATTTCTCCGGAAATTATCAAGGTTTGGTTATGAATTACGACACCCATTTGAGATTATCAAGAACAGAGCTCATGAGTTTCTAATTCTTTGCAGCCGGATGTGACAGCGCCGGGAGTGAACATAATCGCGGCATTCTCTGGCGCCGTGAGCCCAACAGGGGAGCCATTCGACAACAGAACAGTTCCATACATAACAATGTCAGGGACTTCCATGTCCTGTCCCCATGTCTCCGGCATTGTCGGCCTCCTCAAAGCTCTCCACCCCGAATGGAGCCCCGCCGCCATCAAATCCGCCATAATGACCTCCGCCACAATTAGCGACAACACAATGAACCTCATGCTCGACGGCGGCTCCCCTATCTTCGCTCCAGCCACCCCCTTCATATATGGGTCAGGGCACATCCACCCCACTGGCGCCATCGACCCCGGCCTCGTCTACGACCTCTCCCCCAACGATTACTTAGAATTCCTCTGCGCCAGCGGCTACAAGGAGAAGAACATTCGAGTATTCGCCGATGAAAATTTCAAGTGCCCTGTTTCTGGTTCTATTTTAAACTTTAATTACCCTTCCATTGGGGTTCAGAACTTGACTGGGAGTGTCACCGTTACTAGAAGGTTGAAGAATGTTGGCAGGCCGGGGGTTTATAGAGTCAGAGTTCGACGGCCAGAAGGAGTTAAGGTTTCAGTGAAGCCAAGAGTTCTGAAGTTTTGGAAGATTGGAGAGGAGAAGAGGTTTGAATTGACGATGACCGGAGCTGTGGCGGAGGGTCAAATTGGTTATGGTACGCTAATTTGGACCGACGGCAAGCACTTTGTTAAGAGTCCAATTGTGGTTTCTTCTGGCTTTTTCTGAACCCATTTAGTTAGGAGGGGTTACTAGATTTCAAGTTTTGATTTCTGTTGTTGAAATCATATAGGTTTTTTTTTTTTTTTCATGATATGAACTAGTTCTTAGGAATTTTTTCTTTTTGTTTGAAACGTTTCCCCCTTTTTCCTTTTTAGTTTAATCAAATGTTTTAGTTTAACCCATTGTTTAAACGGTCATAAAACATAACCTTCAGCTACTTAATTTAAGGTTGCTACTGTATGCATATCATAAACTAATACCATAAACTAATACTTAATTTAAACTGTCATAAAACATAACCTTCAGCTAAAAACACAGCTATGGACTTACGTGTTTTGAACGATAAATAAAATAAATAAACGTTTAAATTAAAAACATCCTATCCTAGTCTAAGTCTAAGAAAATAAATACGACTACCTTATGCATGTGCCATAGTCTCAAGTTGCGATGCTGTCGGGAATGCCTTACCTTAACCTGAAATAAAAGTAGCAAGTGACTTGAGTATTTTAAGAACATGTGAATGCAATGACGACTACCTACGACACTATTCTAATGGGAAGCTTAAATTTGTATCATATACTCTACACACAGTCCATATGTGCGAGTATGGGCTCACCAGACAGTTCGCACACTGTTGAACCCCTTTTCTTATTGGGCGAGCCTTCTCTGGTAGCTTAACTTTTGTTAGATATCCATTAGAATTAGTAACCGTCACGGCAACATTATGTAAAACATAACGATACTTCGCCTGCCTAATGGATGTACGCATTCGTACCCTCGTGATGGTATAGGGGTATCCCCCATGCATGAGCACACATAATGCATGAGGTCCCAACATTTTTTTGTTTTCATTATCATTTAATACAACCCCGCTAGTGTTCTGTACATATCATATCGTTTTTCATCATTTCACGTATCGTTCATCATTCATTTCATATAATTTCTCATTTTTCGGTTCTCATATCATACATAATTCTAACAGGGATATATTTCATGGCATTTATCGTGATTTCATGTCATTCATATCATGCAATATACATATAATATAGGAGACATAACATTTCATGATATGGAATCAAATCCAGGGAAAGTATGAAACGGATTACCTTGATGATCAAGATCAAGAGTAAATAAAACTTGTTTCTAAACTTGTGATTTGAATCACTCCACAAGAGGTTTGATCAATACCACTTGAATGACTCTAGCATGCAAGTTCTAAACACAAGAATTTGCCAAGAAAATCTTAGCTCTCAACAAAGCTAAAAGAATAGAAATTATATTTTTTTTCTTAATTCCAAAATGTGATGTCTCTAATCAAAGAAAAGAAAGTAGCGTTTACAACCTTAACCTTGTGTCCTATATGAAAAACAAACAATTATTCAAATTATAATTAAATAGTGCAATAAATGAAATGTGCTTATTAGTCATCTTTGGACTAGTTCCATACATTTAGAGTTCATTAAATGCAACTTAAAGTGCATTTAATGCATCTCTTTCTTGAAACACAACTTTGCACAACATATAATGGAGGTCTCCAACGTCTTCTAGAAGATGAGCTCACCATAGCTTGAATACAAAGTGTACAAGGTTTGTTGTAACTTCTTGGCTCTCGTCCTTGTAATTGGACCTTGAGGTATGAAAATTCCTTGTTCGTGGTTCATATCATTCTCCCCTTCTTGAGAAGGATTCGTCCTCGAATCCCAGCCATCACCTACATCAAAAGGACTCAAATCAACAACATTAAAAGTTGCACTAACACCATACTTACCTGATATCAATTTTATAAGCATTGTCGTTGATATGCTCAAGCATAAAATAGTCTATCTCGTCGTGGTAAAAGCTTAGATCTTCTTTGAGTAGGAAATCTTTCTTTTCAGAAATGCACCTAAACTCAATCTCCTGGCTTGAAGACGACAATCTTGTGTCCTTTATTAATTCGGGTGGCAACTTTAGAATTTTGCTTCTCAATTTATTCTTTTACTTGTTTGTGCATGAACAAACTCAACCTTGACATTCGCATCAAAATTTACAAACTATTTTGACGGCATAGGTAACAAGTCAATGGGGGTTAAAGGATTAAAGCCATAAACAACTTCAAAAGGTGTGCATTTAGTAGTGCTATGAACAACCATATTTGAAACACCCACTCATCGAAAACGCGACTTACAGGAGTTACCATCGACACCAATAAATTTAGAAACATTTCCAAACATTTCTATGCACATCTAATAAAACATTTAAAACAAGTACTATTTAAAACATTAAACAACCAACATAACTTTTAAACAACTAAAAGCAAACTACATAAACCAACCGATACATGGATCCCCAATAGTCCCTACCTGTTGGTCTCGTCCTCGGTTGGCCTACATCATCTAAATCTGGAAAGAAAAGTTATAATAATTTTTATAGTAATTAAATTACCTAGTAAGTACCTAACTTATCTTTCATGAGTTATAACTAATCTTTCCAAGTGTTTTTCAGTTTTATTCGGTCACCTATTCATTAATGTGGTATCTCAGCTACCTCCAACTTAGGTTACTGACTCCCTCTCTATATGCTTATCTAAAAATTTTGGACTTGTATGTAAGACTTGCTCTCGGTAAAATACAACCCGTCTACTAATTTATGTGGCGGCCAGTTCATCTCATATACCAACGGTCATGAGTACTCATTCTCTCTAACTTAGCACTCTGCCCGTTGGTCAGGAACTCCGCGGGAATTAGTAAACTAGAATACTCATATATATATAAGTCATGGCTAAACAGCCAATAAGCATATCCTAGAGTCATAAACTTTCCATTAACATGCCTAACATACTCACGTCTAATGCATGTTTTGATACATTTATAATGTTTGACACAAAACATTATGGTAATCATTAATAACATGCTTACATCACAAGCAAGCAGTCACAATATACAATAGACATTAAATATCATCAAAGCTCATATTAACATATTAAGCTCTTAATCATGTAAACAACATACTCACAAGTTGTAAAAAACAAGTTAAGAACTAGTTTAAAGAACGATATGCTACTTACTTGGTTTTGAATCCTGTTTTCCCTTGGAGGTACGTTTAATACGGTATTTCAACTCAATTCCTTCCTATTAGACCTATATTTCACAATTTTCAAGATAAGTATAGACCAATCTTGATAGGACAGGTCAGAAGGAGTTGAACGGGACAAACCGGGAGCCAAAACAATGACGCACGTGCCCTCACGCGCCCCCACTCTCTCTGTTAGCAAAATTCACGCGCCCTTTCTTCTTCCTTGCGATTTCCTGCAATTTTCCCACTTTTACATTAAATACCGTTAAGTCCCGAGGCCATACTCCAACCCTACGGCCTGTGTTTCGTCCCGACTTCTTCTACAACTTTATAGATCTCCTTATTACAATTCTAACAAGCCCTATTTAATTACCTATTACTCAACATACACCAAGATATCAAGTTTTAAAAGTTCAGTACTATGGATTTTGCATTACCTTCGTATAAACGTTCAATTCAGCTCAAAATTGTCCTTTGTCCTTAAAGAACTTCTTGGCAACAACCTCCCTCTTCTTATTCCTTAGTAGTAACTGAGTGTAATCAAGCTGAATCATTCCAAATCGGAAATCCCCAATATTTCTACTCTATTTTTGGTGTTCCCCTTCTCCCGTGTTCTTCATTTTTAAATCCAAACCAACTCCCCATCTTGCTTCCACCACTCACTCACAAATCATCCATCACTCCTACACCTCCCGCCCACCTGTTCCCTTCCCTTTTTCCTCCATTACAACAGTTATTCTTTTTTTTTTTAATTTCCTTATTTACAGATTTCTTATTATTATTATTATTTATTATTATTATTTTTAAACATGAACACATCAGCAAATAAGTACAGATATACATATTATTATTATTATTTTTAGATTATTACAATTCTACCCTCCTTTTAAGAACTTTCGTCCTCGAAAGTTTCTAACTCTACAAACAAGTGTGGATATTCTTGTTTAAACACCTCTTCTCGTTCCCAAGTAGCTTCACTAGCTTGCTGATTCTTCCATAAAACTTTAACAAAGGGAATATCTTTGCTACGCAAGGATCTCACTTCTCGCGCCAAAATTTTAACAGGTCGTTCTTCATAGCTTAAGTCCTCCTTTAACTCCAAGTCTTTATAACGAAGAATATGCATAGGATCTACAACATACTTCCTCAGCATCGAAACGTGAAAAATGTTATGCATAGTATCCAACGTTGGTGGTAAAGCCAACTTGTAGGCTATTGGGCCAATTCTTTCGAGGATCTCGAAAGATCCAATAAAACGCGGGCTAAGCTTTCCCCTCTTACCAAATTGCAAAACACCACGAACTGGTGCAACCTTCAAGAAATCATGGTCCCCCACCTCGAACTCTAGGTCCTTTCTCCTAACATCAGCATAACTCTTCTGACGACTTTGGGCGTCAGAATTCTCTTCCTAATCTTCTGTATCGCCTCATTGGTCGTCCGTAGCAAATCTGGTCCTAACAGCTGTTTACTACCTACTTCCTCTCAATAAATTGGAATTCGACACCTCCGTCCATAAAGTGCCTCAAAAGAAGTCATCTGAATGGTTGCTTGATAACTATTGTTATAGGCAAATTCCACCAAATATAGGTAGGTGTCCCAACTGCTAGCAAAATCAAGTACACATGCACACAACATATCCTCGAGAAACTGATTTAATCTCTCTGTTTGTCCATCTGTCTGAGGATGGAACATTGTACTAAATTTCAGTTATGTACCAAGGGCTTCCTGAAGACTCTTCCAGAATCGAGAGGTAAACCGTGCATCCCTATCTGACACAATAGAAACTAGTACACCATGCAACCTTATAATCTCCTTTAAATACAATTGTGCTAACTTGTCAACTGAATACGAAAAGTTCCCTGTTATAAAATGAGCTGTCTTAGTTAATCTATCCACAACAACCCATATCATTGTAAGCCCTGACTGGGTTCTAGGTAGTTCTGTAATGAAATTCATGGTCACCTCTTCCCACTTTCACTGGACACATTTTGAGGTTGCAATAATCCAGCAGGTTTCTGTCTAGGTGCCTTAACTTGTTGACAAGTTAAACACCTACTCACATATTCAGCAACATCTTTCTTCATCCCAGGCCACCAAAAGAATGTTTTCAAATCCTGATACATCTTTTTGGCACCTAGATGTACGGTATAGGAAGACTCATGTGCCTCAGATAAGATCTTCCTCTTGATCTCCACATGGTTTGGCACACAAGTTCGATTCACTCACTTTAAACATCCATCGCCTGTCATCAAGAAATACTTGATTCGTTCAGTCTCAAGTTGCTTCACGACTTTTGCAAAATAAGGGCACCTCTGCTGACCCTGAGTAATTTTTTGCTGCAACGTCAGACAGATAATCATAAGAGTTAGCTAAGTTGTCGCTTCCCTGACCAACACAGCTATCTGAGCTCGTTCAAACTCCATCTAAATGTTGGGTTGTGTCGTCAACATTGCAGATGAGTGAGCTGTCTTACGACTCAAGGCATAAGCTACCACATTAGCTTTATCAGGGTGACGTGGAATCTCCATATCATAATCTTTCACTAACTCCAACCATCGACGCTGCCTCATGTTAAGCTCTTTCTGGGTGACTGATATTTGAGACTCTTATGATCTGTATATATTTGTATCTTCTCACCATACAGATAATGTCTCCATATTTTCAGAGCAAACACCACAGTAGCTAACTCTCCCGTTCTGCATAAGTACGGAACTCAACCCATTCTTAGAGGCATCATTATAAGTTACTAGATTCTTAGTACCGTCGGGTACAGTAAGTACTGGGGCTGACTCTAGTCTTTCCTTGAGTTCGTGAAAACTTCTTTCACAAGCTCGACTCCACTCAAATTTCTTTCCTTTACGAGTTAATTGAGTCAGTGGCGCTACAATCTTTGCGAAGTCCTTAATAAATCGCCTGTAGTATCCTGCTAAACCAAGGAAACTTCTCACCTCAGTAACTGTAGTTGGTCGAGCCCAACCTATAACTGCCTCCACCTATGCTGGATCAACGGCTATACCATCCTTAGATACCACATGACCAAGGAATACTACTTTCTAAAGCCAAAACTCACATTTCGAGAATTTGGCATATTATCTTTGTTAACGTAGAACCAACAAAACATTTCTCAAATGTTCTGCATGTTCATCATTTGTCTTGGAATAAACCAAGATATCATCAATGAACACAATGATAAAAGAATCCAGAAAATCCTGGAATACCCGACTCATCAGCTCCATAAATACTACAAGGGCATTACAACAAACTCATGTGCCCATAATGGGTACAAAAAGTCGTCTTTGGTATGTCCTCTTCCTTGACTCTTATCTGGTGATAGCCAAAATGAAGATCAATCATCGAAAATACTGCTGCACCTTGAAGCTGGTCAAACAAGTCCTCAATTCGCGGCAAGGGATACTTATTTTTAATGGTCACCTTATTCAGCTCCCTATAATCAATGCAGAGATGGAGTGTGCCGTCCTTCTTCACAAACAACACTGGAGCTCCCCACGGTGACACACTAGGTCGTATGAATCCCTAGTTCAACAACTCCTACAGTTGCAATTTCAACCCTTTCAATTCTGGGAGGGCCATCCTATAAGGAGCTTTAGAGATAGGTGTCGTCCCTGGTTCAAGTTCAATGCCAAAGTTGACTTCCCGCTCTCGTGGCAAGCCAAGCATCAGGGAAGACATCCAGGAACTCATTCACCACAGGTACAGCTGATACATCTGTATCAACTCATCTCACTTCTACCACACTAGCCAGGAATGCCACAGCACCGTGACTAATCAACTTCCTAGCCTTTAAAGCAATTATCGTCTTGGGAACACTTCCCCGCTTCGTACCCTAAAACTAGAAGCTCTTTCCCATTGGGGGGTGAAAAACTATCTCCTTCTTATAACAGTTGATACTGACATGATGAGCAGATAGTCAATCCATGCCCAAAATAATGTCATAATCATACATATCTAGCACCATTAACAGCATGTCTAATGGTTAACCAGATACTTCTACCTTATCCAGTTTCACCTTTTCACGAGTCATCAATATGACTCCTGAAGGTGTAGAGACTAGAACCTCATAACCTAAAGGATCTACTTAATGTCGTGCTTGACGAACAAACGATAATGATATAAAAGAATGCGTCGAGCCAAAATCAAACACAGTATAAGCAAAGTAGCCATAAATTGGTAAAACCGTGCTGGCATCCTCCGCTACCTTGCTCATCGTGGCAAAGGCTTTACCTCGAGCCTGAGGCGGTCCCCCAACACTCGACTGACCTCCTCCTCCTCCTCCTGGAGCGGGCTGCTCGTTGTGTACCACATTAGGATTCTTTGCATTACGACACACTCTGAAGAGATGACCAGTCTTACAACAAATACAACATGTCTTATCTACAGCGCTACAAGATCCCGCATGAGTCAACCCGCACTTGCTGCAAACTGCCTTCCCATCACCTAAGGAAGGCCGATGATCTACTCGTTGCGGTACTGCCTGTTGTTGCGAACCCGAGGATATTTGAGTAAACGTTCATTTATCGCTTGGCCGTACCTGACTTAACCTTAACTCTTATATGAAAAACAAACAAATATTCAAATTATAATTAAAGAGTGCAATAAATGAAATGTGCTTACAAGTGTTTTAAAGTTTCATTTGCCATTGACTCATAGTTTCTCTTACTAGGGTCACCTGTTCATTAAAGTGGTATCTCAGCTACCTCGAGCTTAGATTACTGACTCTCTCTCTATATGCTTGTCTAGAATTTTCGGACTTCTATGTAAGACTCGCTCTCGGTCAAATACGACCCGTCTACTAATTTCTCTGGCAGCCTGTTCATCTCATATACCAACGGTCAGGAGTACTAATTCTCTCTAACTTAGCACTCAGCGCGTTGGTCAAGAACTCCGCAGGAATTAGTAGACTATAGTACTCATATAAATAAGTCATGGCTCAACAACCAATAAGCATATCCTAGAGTCATAACCTTTCCATTAACATGCATAGCATACTCACACCTAATGCATGTTTTCATACATTTATGATGTTTGACACAAAACATTCTGGTAATCATTCATAACATGCTTACATCACAAGCAAGTAGTCACAATATACAATAGACATTAAATATCATCAAAACTCATATTAACATAAGCTCTTAATCATATAAACAACGTACTCACAAGTTGTAAAAAAGGTTAAGATCTAGTTTAAAGAACGATATGCTACTTACTTTGTTTCGAATCCCTTTTTCTCTTGGATGTACGTTTAATAAGGTACTTCAACCCAATTCCTTCCTATTAGACCTATATTTCACAATTTTCAAGATAAGTATAGACCAATCTTGATAGAACAGGTCAAAACGAGTCGAACGGGACAAATCGGGAGCCAAAACAATGACGCACGTACTCCCACTCTCTGTCAACAGAATTCACGCACCCTTTCTTCTTCCTTGCAATTTCCTGCCATTTTCCCACTTCTACATTAATTCCCATTAAGTCCCGAGGCCATACTCCAACCCTACAGCCCGTATTTCATCCCGACTTCTTCTATAACTTTATAGATCTCCTTATTACGATTCTAACAAGCCCTATTTCATTACCTATTGCTCAACATACACCAAGATATCAAGTTTTAAAGGTTCGATAATATGGGCTTTGTGTTACCTTCGTATAAACGTTTGATTCAGCTTGAAATTGCCCTTTGTCCTTAAAGAACTTCTCGGCAACAACCTCCATCTTCTGATTTATGAGTAGTAACCGAGTGTAATCAAGCTAAACCACGCCAAATCTGAAATCCAACGTTTATACGATTCTAACAACCTCCATCTTCTACTCTTTTTGGTGTTCCCCTTCTCCCCTGTTCTTGGTTTTTAAATCCAAACTGACTCCCCATCTTGCTTCCACCACTAACTCAAAAATCATCCAACACTCTGACACCTCCAGCCCACGCGTTCCGTTCCCCTTTTTCCTCCATTACAGCGATTCATTTTTTTTTTTTAATTTCCTTATTTACAGATTTCTAATTATTATTATTATTATTATTAAACATCAACACAACAACAAATAAGTACAAATATACATATTATTATTATTATTATTAGATTATGGTGTGCCATTAAACCACCTCCATGAGCTTCCCTCACAAGTAGCTCACGTATGGAACAAGATGGTATGTAAAGTTTGCCTTTTGGGAACAAAAATTCATCTAACAACAATTAATTATTCACAATGAGTCCTTTTTCACAAGATTCAACAAAAGGAGCAAAGAACATGTCATGTTGATACAAATCCGTTATGTGTTCAAAACCCCAAAAACTTAGCATTCAAAGTAGTGAGGAGGACATACCTTCGTGATAAAGCATCTGCAACAATGTTTCAATAAATTCTAACCACATAGCATGTAGTCTGTTAAGTTTATTTTGTGCTCTCAAATGCTTTAAACTTTCATGATCTGTATAAATAACGAACTCGTTAGGCCAAAGATAATGTTGGCAGGCTTGCAATGCACGAACCAAAACATAAAGCTCTTTGTCATAAGTTGGATACCTCAAAGATGCACAAGTAAACTTTTCACTAAAGAAAATTAAAGGTCTTTGATTTTGCATTAATACAGCACCTATTCCTACTCCACTAGCATCACAACTCAAAATTAGGTAATGGGGAGCAGAACTCAATTTTTCTTTCAAATTATTAAAAGCAAGTTCTTGATCTTTTTCCCATATAAATGATACATTTTTCTTAACAAGTTCATTCAAGGGTGAAGCAATTGTACTAAAATTCTTAATGAACCTACGGTAGAAACTTGCAAGAGCATGAAAACTTCTTACCTCACTTACACTTGTGTAGGCCAATCTTTTATAGTTTTCACTTTCTCCTCATCAACCTCAACACCATTAAATGAAACTACAAACCCAAGAAAGTTAACTTTTTCCATGCAAAAGCTACATTTCTTTAAATTTACATACAAACATTTGTTTCTTAAAGTAGTCAAAACATTACATACATGGGTAATATGATCATCTAAAGATTTAGAGTAAACAAGGATGTCATCAAAATAAACAACCACAAACTTACCTAAGTATTCTCGTAAAACATGGTTCATTAGTCTCATGAATGTACTAGGTACATTAGTTAATCCAAAAGGCATAACCAACCATTCATAAAGACCATACTTGGTTTTAAAAGTTGTTTTCCACTCATCCCCAATATGCATGCGAATTTGATGATAACCCGATTTTAAATCAATCTTAGTAAAAAGACTACATCCATGCAATTCATCAAGCATATCATCTTATTTACGAATTGGATGCCTATACTTTATAGTTATGTTGTTTATAGCCCTATAATCAATACACATATGCCAAGAACCATCTTTCTTCGAAAGAATTAGGGTCGTTTCATTTTTGTATCAAGAACTAAGAGTTCGAGAGATAAAGAGAATTAAGGATACCCACCAGAAAAACTAATCCAATCCATATGGATGTACCTGAAAATACAACATTTTTGTTCGCCGACCAACCTCAAAAGGGCTAATTAAGAGGAGGATCATGAGTTTATAGATAAATAACACTATCTCCATATTTTGGGGAAAACTAAAATAAAGTGACCAGAGCTCATGCTCAAAATGGACAATATAGGTTTGTGGTTTCTAATTTGGTATTAGAGCAGCATTCCAATTTTATTTTTGGTTTTTTAGAAATTATATTTATTTTCTCATAATTTTTATTTAAATATTTAAAATAGGTAGTCATTTAATTTACAAATAAAATATTTTCTAAGACGGAGCATTTATCTCATTTGTACACTAACATTTATTTTAATATTTTTGAAATAAATTACCGATCAAATTAAAATAATTATAAAAAAAACAGTGAAAATACTCCTAAAATGTTAAAATGTAGTAAATAATAATTGAAAAAAATTCAAAACTAATATTTAAAATGAGATTTAAAATTCAGTCAATTTTCTTTTTCTATTTTTGAAAAATGAGGACAAATCTCATATCTATTTAATATTTAAAATTAGAAAATAAGTTGGGATGATATCCCAAATTTTTCTCCCTATATAACAAAAACCTTTCTTTATAAATAGGAGCAATGGCAAAAAATTTTATAAACCGAAGCAGTGATAAATTTAGTGATAAATTTTTTTATAAATGGAAGCAGTGACATTTTTTTATAAACGGAAGCAGTGACATTTTTTTATAAACGGAAGCAGTGACATTTTTTTATAAACGGAAGCTGACATTTTTTTATAAACGGAAGCAGTGACATTTTTTTATAAACGGAAGCAGTGACATTTTTTTATAAACGGAAGCAGTGACAATTAAGTAACTTATAGAGAGGGACAATTAAGTTTATAGGGGGTGAAAAATAGAGAGATGAACTTTACTAATTTCATCCTTATTTTATTCTGGTTTTTTCGGTTAATATCACCTGTCATTGCTGTAAAGAAGGTAATGCCTTTTTTGATTCTACAGTGTGTTCTTCTTATGTTTATTCTTAAGTTTACAAAGTATTATTATACGAACCCTAATTTTATTTTTTTGGGTTTCAGTCCTATATTGTGTTATTAGGATCTCACTCACATGGGTTAGAGGTATCAACAATAGATCTTCAAAGAGTGGTTGATTCCCATCACAAATTGCTCGGATCCTTCTTGGGGAGGTTTGAAGTTTGATTTTTTTTTTTTTTTATATATATTTGAAAATATTGCTATCATTATGTTATTTTGAATTAATAAAAATTGAAAATTTTCAGTTCTGAAAAGGCAAAAGATGCCATTTTTTACTCGTATAAGAACCATATAAATGGGTTTGCAGCCATTCTAGATGAGGAAGAGGCCACCAAGTTTGCAAGTAAATACTAAACTATTTTAACTTTAATATATAAACATAATAATTAATAATAATTAATAATAATAATTTATGAGACAGAGCACCCAGAAGTAGCAGCAGTGTTGCCAAACAAAGCCAAAGAGTTGCACACAACTCATTCATGGGAGTTCATGCATTTGGAGAAGAATGGTTTTATTCTCCCTTTTTCTCCTTGGAGGAAGGCTAGATTTGGAAAAGATGTTATTATTGCCAATCTCGACACCGGTAAATATATATTATCTTTTACTTATTCATCATATAACTCGATCGCATTAACATGAAATATCTAATTTAGATCATAAAGGTTGAGTTCGATTGTGGATTTTCATCTGGTTGTTCCTGTTATTGACCATTTACCTAAATTAGATCATAACGATTAGTTAAGATTGTGAATTTTATGTGGGTTATTTGGGTAAATTAAAAAGTTAGGTAAATTAAATATTTTTTTTGTTAAAAAAAAAAAAAGGTGTATGGCCCGAGTCCAAGAGTTTTGGAGAACAGGGCATAGTAGGAGGTGTGCCATCGAGATGGAAAGGAGGTTGCACGGATAAAACTCCTGATGCAGTGCCTTGTAACAGGTGTCATTGTTAATCATAATTTGATATTTTATTATTATTTTTAATTCAGATTAAAGGTGATTAACAACATTAATTATGATTGACACTAGGAAATTAATCGGAGCAAAGTATTTCAATCAGGGGGTAATCGCGTACTTGAAATCCCAAAATTTAACAGATGAACTCCCATTGATCGTCAACTCCACGCGCGATTACGTAGGTCATGGATCCCACACGCTATCGACAGCCGGCGGAAACTATGTCTCTGGCGTCAGCGTATTTGGGTCCGGTATCGGAACTGCCAAGGGCGGCTCTCCCAAGGCCCGCGTCGCTGCCTATAAGGTATGCTGGCCGTTCCACAACAGTGGCGGTTGCTACGACGCCGACATTTTTGACGGAATTGATCAAGCCATCTACGACGGCGTCGATGTCCTTTCGCTTTCCATCGGCAGTCCACCAGCCGAATACTATGATGATACCATCGCCATTGCTTCCTTTCATGCACTGAAGAAAGGAATCCCCGTGGTGTGCTCTGCCGGCAACTCTGGCCCGAGCATGGCGACTGCTACTAATATTGCTCCGTGGATTTTGACGGTTGGGGCTAGCACTTTGGACCGTGAATTTCAAGCCCCCATTGAGCTTGGAAACGGGCAACGCTTTTGGGTTTGTTTAAGAATATTTAGTCATGAATTATAATTTCACATATATATTATATTTTATTTTTATAAGCAAATATCCCTTCCATTACTGCTTAACCTATGTATCATATTTGTCCTCGTTTGGTTGAACATAAAATTTGTTCCTGGTGATTAGGGGTCGAGCCTTTCGAGACCATTAGCAGGGAGAAAGCTATACCCATTGATAACTGGAGCTCAGGCGAAAGCAACGACCGCCTCTGCCGACGACGCCATGCTCTGCAAGCCGAAAACTTTGGATCGTTCTAAAGTGAATGGGAAGATCTTGGTTTGCTTGACAGGGGGCTCTTCGAGAATTGACAAAGGAATGCAAGCCGTCCTCGCAGGTGCTGTTGGAATGATTCTCTGCAACGATAGGTTTAGTGGATTTAAAATCATCGCCGATCTCCATGTTCTTCCAGCTTCTCATATCAGTTACAATGACGGTCAAGCTGTTTCCTCGTACATCAATTCTAGGAAGTAAACAAATTACAATTAATTTACTTCTCTATGAATCTTTGTCGGAATGTTTCTCTGATTGTTGTTGTTTTTGACAGAAATCCAATGGGATATTTGATCCCACCGTCGTCCAAAGTTAATACCAAACCTTCTCCGATCATGGCGGCTTTCTCATCCAGAGGACCCAACATGATTTCTCCGGAAATTATCAAGGTTTGGTTATGAATTACGACACCCATTTGAGATTATCAAGAACAGAGCTCATGAGTTTCTAATTCTTTGCAGCCGGATGTGACAGCGCCGGGAGTGAACATAATCGCGGCATTCTCTGGCGCCGTGAGCCCAACAGGGGAGCCATTCGACAACAGAACAGTTCCATACATAACAATGTCAGGGACTTCCATGTCCTGTCCCCATGTCTCCGGCATTGTCGGCCTCCTCAAAGCTCTCCACCCCGAATGGAGCCCCGCCGCCATCAAATCCGCCATAATGACCTCCGCCACAATTAGCGACAACACAATGAACCTCATGCTCGACGGCGGCTCCCCTATCTTCGCTCCAGCCACCCCCTTCATATATGGGTCAGGGCACATCCACCCCACTGGCGCCATCGACCCCGGCCTCGTCTACGACCTCTCCCCCAACGATTACTTAGAATTCCTCTGCGCCAGCGGCTACAAGGAGAAGAACATTCGAGTATTCGCCGATGAAAATTTCAAGTGCCCTGTTTNGTGCCATCGAGATGGAAAGGAGGTTGCACGGATAAAACTCCTGATGCAGTGCCTTGTAACAGGTGTCATTGTTAATCATAATTTGATATTTTATTATTATTTTTAATTCAGATTAAAGGTGATTAACAACATTAATTATGATTGACACTAGGAAATTAATCGGAGCAAAGTATTTCAATCAGGGGGTAATCGCGTACTTGAAATCCCAAAATTTAACAGATGAACTCCCATTGATCGTCAACTCCACGCGCGATTACGTAGGTCATGGATCCCACACGCTATCGACAGCCGGCGGAAACTATGTCTCTGGCGTCAGCGTATTTGGGTCCGGTATCGGAACTGCCAAGGGCGGCTCTCCCAAGGCCCGCGTCGCTGCCTATAAGGTATGCTGGCCGTTCCACAACAGTGGCGGTTGCTACGACGCCGACATTTTTGACGGAATTGATCAAGCCATCTACGACGGCGTCGATGTCCTTTCGCTTTCCATCGGCAGTCCACCAGCCGAATACTATGATGATACCATCGCCATTGCTTCCTTTCATGCACTGAAGAAAGGAATCCCCGTGGTGTGCTCTGCCGGCAACTCTGGCCCGAGCATGGCGACTGCTACTAATATTGCTCCGTGGATTTTGACGGTTGGGGCTAGCACTTTGGACCGTGAATTTCAAGCCCCCATTGAGCTTGGAAACGGGCAACGCTTTTGGGTTTGTTTAAGAATATTTAGTCATGAATTATAATTTCACATATATATTATATTTTATTTTTATAAGCAAATATCCCTTCCATTACTGCTTAACCTATGTATCATATTTGTCCTCGTTTGGTTGAACATAAAATTTGTTCCTGGTGATTAGGGGTCGAGCCTTTCGAGACCATTAGCAGGGAGAAAGCTATACCCATTGATAACTGGAGCTCAGGCGAAAGCAACGACCGCCTCTGCCGACGACGCCATGCTCTGCAAGCCGAAAACTTTGGATCGTTCTAAAGTGAATGGGAAGATCTTGGTTTGCTTGACAGGGGGCTCTTCGAGAATTGACAAAGGAATGCAAGCCGTCCTCGCAGGTGCTGTTGGAATGATTCTCTGCAACGATAGGTTTAGTGGATTTAAAATCATCGCCGATCTCCATGTTCTTCCAGCTTCTCATATCAGTTACAATGACGGTCAAGCTGTTTCCTCGTACATCAATTCTAGGAAGTAAACAAATTACAATTAATTTACTTCTCTATGAATCTTTGTCGGAATGTTTCTCTGATTGTTGTTGTTTTTGACAGAAATCCAATGGGATATTTGATCCCACCGTCGTCCAAAGTTAATACCAAACCTTCTCCGATCATGGCGGCTTTCTCATCTAGAGGACCCAACATGATTTCTCCGGAAATTATCAAGGTTTGGTTATGAATTACGACACCCATTTGAGATTATCAAGAACAGAGCTCATGAGTTTCTAATTCTTTGCAGCCGGATGTGACAGCGCCGGGAGTGAACATAATCGCGGCATTCTCTGGCGCCGTGAGCCCAACAGGGGAGCCATTCGACAACAGAACAGTTCCATACATAACAATGTCAGGGACTTCCATGTCCTGTCCCCATGTCTCCGGCATTGTCGGCCTCCTCAAAGCTCTCCACCCCGAATGGAGCCCCGCCGCCATCAAATCCGCCATAATGACCTCCGCCACAATTAGCGACAACACAATGAACCTCATGCTCGACGGCGGCTCCCCTATCTTCGCTCCAGCCACCCCCTTCATATATGGGTCAGGGCACATCCACCCCACTGGCGCCATCGACCCCGGCCTCGTCTACGACCTCTCCCCCAACGATTACTTAGAATTCCTCTGCGCCAGCGGCTACAAGGAGAAGAACATTCGAGTATTCGCCGATGAAAATTTCAAGTGCCCTGTTTTTTGTTCTATTTTAAACTTTAATTACCCTTCCATTGGGGTTCAGAACTTGACTGGGAGTGTCACCCTTACTAGAAGGTTGAAGAATGTTGGCAGGCCGGGGGTTTATAGAGTCATAGTTCGACGGCCGGAAGGAGTTAAGGTTTCAGTGAAGCCAAGAGTTCTGAAGTTTTGGAAGATTGGAGAGGAGAAGAGGTTTGAATTGACGATGACTGGAGCTGTGGCGGAGGGTCAAATTGGTTATGGTACGCTAATTTGGACCGACGACAAGCACTTTGTTAAGAGTCCAATTGTTGTTTCTTCTGGCTTTTTCTGAACCCATTTAGTTAGGAGGGGTTACTAGATTTCAAGTTTTTTTTTTTTCCTGATATGAACTAGTTCTTAGGAATTTTTCTTTTTATTTGAAACGTTTCCCCTCTTTCCTTTTTAGTTTAATCAACTATTTTAGTTTAACCCATTGTTTAAACAAACAAGTTCTTTTCACCGCTCTATTTCAACGAGCCTCTCTCTAGGACTAGCATAGTGTCCAGATCTTTACATCTTTCATGTGGGTTGGAGTTTACTCGACAAGGAATTTCGCTACCTTAGGACCGTTATAATTATGGCCACCATTCACTGGGATTGATCGCCTGCTCCTCTGACTTTCAAGCATTGGCAGGTGTCAGCCTCCATACATGGTCTTAAAACTTTGGGGGTGGTGATTTTTCTACTACCACCATGTTAACCCTTTTGAGCTTATTTGTATTTTGATCAAAGAGAGGTCAGTTTGACCCAAGATAGATGGTGATAGAAAAAAAAAAAAAAAAGGTCCCTAATTCAAAATATAGTGTGTGAGCAGCCAAGCTTCGATCGAGTTTCCATTTCCAAGTACGGGGCGGGGGGGAGGGGGGCAAGAATCTTTCTGTAATGACTCGAAATTTGCTACTTAATTTAAGGTTGCTACTGTATGCATATCATAAACATTGAATGCGGAAATACTTAATTTAAACTGTCATAAAGCATAACCTTCAGCTAAAAACACAGCTATGGACTTGCGTGTTTTGAACGATAAATAAAATAAATAAACGTTTAAATTAAAAACATCCTATCCTAGTTAAGTCTAAGAAAATAAATACGACTACCTTATGCATGTGCCATAGTCTATCCTAGTTAAGTCTAAGAAAATAAATGACTACCTTATGCATGTGCCATAGTCTTAAGTTGCGATGCTGTCAGGAATGCCTTACCTTAACTTGAAATAAAAGTAGCAAGTGACTTGAGTATTTTAAGAACATGTGAATGCAATGACGACTACCTACGACAATAATCTAATGGGAAGCTTGAATGTGTATCATATACTCTACACAGAGCCCATATGTGCGAGTATGGGCTCACCAGACAGTTTGCACACTATTGGACCCCTTTTCTTATCGGGCGAGCCTTCTCTGGTAGCTTAACTTTTGCTAGATACCCATTAGAATTAGTAACCGTCACGGCAACATTATGTAAAACATAACGATACTTCGCCTGCCTAATGGACATACGCGTTCGTACCCTCGTGATGGTATAGGGGTATCCCCCAATGCATGAGCACACATAATGCATGAGGTCCCAACATTTTTTTCGTTTTCATTATCATTTAATACAACCCCTCTAGTGTTCTGCACATATCATATCGTTTTTCATATCATTTCACGTATCGCTCATCATTCATATCATATCATTTCTCATTCTTCAGTTCTCATATCATACATAATTCTAACGGGGTTATATTTCATGTCATTTTTCATGATTTCATGTCATTGATATCATGCAACATACACATAATTTAGGAGACATAACATTTCATGATATGGAATAAACCCAAGGGAAAGTATGGAACGGATTACCTTGATGATCAAGATCAAGAGTAAAGAAAACTCGTTTCTAAACTTGTGATTCGAATCACTCCACAAGAGGTTAAATCAATATCACTTGAATGACTCATGCAAGTTCTAAACACAAGAATTTGCAGAAAATTTTAGCTCTCAACAAAGCAAGAAAAAAAAATAATAAATAGAAATTCTATTCTTTTTAATTCCAAAATGTGATGACTCTGTTCTATTCTTTTTAATTCCAAAATGTGATGACTCTGATAAAACAAAAGAAGGTTTTAGATAGCCTTTACAATCGTAACATATGTGACACATAACTCCCTAGAAGCCTCTATATAGCCTTTACAACCTTAACATCTGTGACACATAACTCCCAAATTAAATTGGCTTAATGAAAAATACCCATAACCTTCATATTAAAATGACTAGTTAAATGGTGGAATATGGTAACCTACGTTAGTTACAATATAACTTTAACTCTTATATTAAAAACTAGCTTAAATATGACAAACAAATATTTAAACTATAATTAAATAATGCAATGAATAAAATGGATTTATTAGTCATCCTTATCCTAGTTCCATAAATTTAGCTGGAGTTCATTAAATGCCACTTAAAGTGCATTTAATGCATCTCTTTCTTGAAGCTCAACTTTGCACAACATATAAATAAGGTATCCAACGTCTTTTAGAATTTTCTTTGATGAGTTCACCATAGCTTAATATAAGTGTACAAGGTTTGTTGTAGTTTCTTGACTCTCGTCCTTGTAATTGGACCTTGAGGTATGGGTCGCATCCATAGTGTCCCCAGGATAAGGTACTCAACCTTATCTCTGTACTATAGATCATTTTGACTATATACTTGAACTTGATCTACTTTTATGTCTCTACATATAGTTCAAGTAATCATACTATAGTCAGAGTGTTCTTAGTTTATTGGATTTAGATCAATAATCGTAAAGTTCACTTTATTCAATAACAATCTTTACTGAATAAACAACAATAATAACTTTATTGAAAATAGAATATGTTTTTGTTTACAAACTATGAGTTTTAGGACAAAAAACCCAATAGCCCTTAGGATGGCCAAGGCCTTAAAGGAACCTCGAGAGGAGAAAAACTCAGAGCCAACGGCATCCGTAGGAAAGAAACGTATTGTGAGGCCGAACCCACAAAATTCCAACCGCCACTCCAGAGACCTCGACATTAGGACAAACGACCTGCTCCGCCCCCAATACCTCGATACCTAGTACCGAAAAAACCTCTTAGTCGCGAATGTGGGAAACATCATTGGGGCAGATGTATGGCAGGCTCGAGGGTATATTACAGGTGCGGTCGTGCAGGCCACAGGCCCAATTCTGTATTGGAACGAACGCGGGAAACCCAAAGACTCCTTAGAGGAGTAGTTATTCGAGTACCCACCATGCAAACCCGCACACAGACCAGGGCGTATGCAACAACCAATAAAGAGGCGGGGACATCTAGCACCGTGGTGACAGGTACGCTTTCTATACTAGGACACTTCGCATTGACGTTGTTTGATTCGGGTTCTACCCATTCGTTTGTTTCTTTGCCATTCGTTAGTCAAGCAGGGTCCGTAGTAGAACCCTTGATGCATGTATTGTCGGCCGGTACCCCAGCAGAAGTAGACCTGGTTATTGAAAATAAAGTAAAAGACGGACAAGTGGTAATAGCTGGACAAACCATCCAAGTAGACCTAAAAGTAGTAGATATGACATATTTTGACGTCATATTAGGAATGGACTGACTAGCCGAAAACTTTGCTAGAATAGACTGCCATAAGAAAGAGGTAGTATTACACCTCTAAACGGACTTACCTTTTATGTTTAAAGGAACCTTCACAAGCACCACCCAAAAATAATATCGATGATGAAAGTCATAAGCCTGGTATAACAAGGGGGGTGGGCGATTCTAGCATGTGCGATGAACACAACAGGAAAAGAGAAAACAATAGATTCGATACCCATAGTAAACGAATTCCCAGATGTCTTCCTAGAGGACCTTGCGAGAATCCCTCCATCGTGAGCAATAGATTTCAGAATAAAACTTGAACCAGGAATGAGACCCATCTTTAAATCCCCATACCGCATGGCCCCAGCAGAACTATAAGAACTTAAATCACAACTACAACACTCGAAATTTTCTGCTTAATTTAAGATCGCTACTGTATGCATATCTTAAACATTGACGGAAATACTTAATTTAAACTGCCATAAAACATTTAAACTGTCATAAAACATAACCTTCAGCTAAAAAAATAGCGATGGACTTGCGTGTTTCGAATGATTAATAAAATAAATAAATGTTTAAATTAAAAACATTCTATCCTAGTCTAAGTCTAAGAAAATAAATACGACTACTCTATGCATGTGTCATAGTCTCGAGTTTCGATGCTGTCGTGAATGCCTTGCCTTAACCTGAAATAAAGGTAGCACGTGACTTGAGTATTTTAAGAACATGTGAATGCAATGACGAGACCTATCATATCTGCCTATTTTTCCTACGGTATTATTCTAATGAGAAGCTCAGATATGTACCATATACTCTACACACAGCCCATACGTGCGAGTATGGGCTCACTAGACAGTTCGCACACCGTTAGGCCCTTTTTTTTATCAGGCAAGCCTTCTCTGCTTGCTCAACTTTTGCCGGATACCCATTAAAATTAGTAACCGTCACGGCAGCATTATATAAAATATAACGATACTTCGTCTGCCTAATGAATGTACACGTCCGTACCCTCGTGATGGAATAGGGGTATCCTCCAATACATGAGCACACATAATACATGAGGTCCTAACATTTTTTAGTTTTTATCATTATTTAATACAACCCCGCTAATGATCTGTACATATCATATCGTTTTTCATATCATTTCACGTATCGTTCATCATTCATATCATATCATTTCTCATTTTTTCAGTTCTCATATCATACATAATTCTAACGGGGTTATATTTCATGTCATTTATCGTGATTTCATGTCATTCATATCATGCAATATACACATAATTTAGGAGACAACATTTCATTATATGAAATCAAACCAAGGGAAAGTATGAAACGAGTTACCTTGATGATCAAGATCAAGAGTAAAGAAAACTTGTTTCTAAACTCGTGATTCAAATCACTTCACAAGAGGTTTGATCAATACCACTCGATGACTTTAGCATGCAAGTTCTAAAAACAATCGTTTGCAAAGAAAATCTTAACTCTCAACAAAGCTAAAAAAAAATAGAAATTATATTCTTTCTTAATTCCAAGATGTGATGTCTCTAATTGAAGAAGAAAACTTTGTATAGCCTTAGCTCCTATATGAAAAACGAACAAATATTTAAATTATAATTAAATATTGCAATAAATGAAATATGCTTATTAGTCATCTTTGGACTAGTTCCATAAATTTGGCAAAGTTCGTTAAATGCAACTTAAAAGTACATTTA